GTCATTAGGGTTGTTTATATTCATATAAGTTTGCAAGGGAACATCATCTAATGGCCCAAAATCATCATCGTAGTCAACCCATTCAGTATCTTCGGAAGCTAGCAGTTCTTCTAAATTGTCGATATTGGACAAAACTTCATTTTGAAGTGCGTCAGCTTGACATTTCAAGATATGTTTCTTAAATCGTAAAGCACTCACAATATTTTTGCACTTTACAATTAAATTTTTGATTTCCGACTCGGAATTGAAGCCATCTACATTAAGCAAATTGTGTAGTCCATGTCCAAGGCAGAAATGGTTGTTTATACACCCCATACTGATAGCTTTTTTGATGTTGCTGCCTTGGTCGGTTACGACGAAATTAGAACCCATTTGCAAACTAAACATTTCGGAAACATTTTCGAGCTCTGTTAAAATATTACTTGCCGTATGAGACTTCGACACGTACTTTGTTTCCAGCGTTAAATGCTTCATCGCAAAGTTCCGTGACAAAAAATGGAAGGTAAATGTTATATAACTTCTTCTTCTATAGTTGTCCGTCCACAAATCAAAAGTTAGGGCAAAGTGTTCTTGTCCAGATACCATACGACTAACTGCTTGTAAAATGCATTCATACACATCGTCGAGTGCAGTTGTTGAAAGCGTTTTGTAATGAGGAATGTCATCAGGAGACACAACAACTTTGTATTTGGTTAAGAAGTCTTTTAGTCCATTGTGGCAAATTATATGAAATGGTAGAAGATCTCTAGCCATCTACAAAGCAAGCTCCCGTCCCAGCGCCCATTTACTATCTCTATGAGATTTTATTGGAGTGCACTTGTTGAAAAAAGATGATATTTTTCCTCGTGAAGCCAATGATGTACTCGGAGAGTCGATTTCACGTATATTGTGTTCATTTTTAAGATGACGAGTTAAGTTCCCTGTGGAACAGTTCTTAGAATATGATTGAATTTTAGCACTGAAACAATTTAAAAAATATAATTTTGAACTTGAAATAATAAATTTAATTGTTACCATGAAAAGATTGTTGTTTCGTCTTCTTTTTTCTGTTCATCCAAACACAATTTGCAAAAAATCTTGTCTTCTTCGATGAACTTGTTTTCTTCTTTCGCTTGCAAGACACCAAAAAACTCCCACACTTTACTTTTACGACTTGCGTTGCGCTGTAGTTCAACTGAATACATGTTCAATGCCTTATCCATCTGTTTGTTGGGATATTTAATTCTTATACATAATTCTTAATCCAATTATAACACTGTAAAACTTACTTCGTGAAATTAATTACGCACTCAGCTGTTAAATGTTTTAGAGATGGGACACATGTAAGGAGATGGGAGATGAGACATTTAATCGATAACTGAAAGCGATTATTGTCGAACATTTTTTTAGGATATATTAATAATAACCTTTTTTATTTATAAAATGAATAAAAATTTGTATGACGCCGAACGCCGCCGCCGCCGCCGCCGCCGCCGCCGCCGCGCCGGTTTTTACGTGACTCGGCGGCGACGCGTCAAAAAAGCAAAAAATCGGCGGCGGCGGCGGCGTGGCTCGGCGGCGTATATGTCTACCATACACTACCAAATTATTATTTACCTCCCTTGTCCGTCCTAATTTAGAATACTGTTCTTCCGTTTGGAGTCCTCAGTAACAAGTGCACATTGACCGTATAGAGTCCGTACACAAACAATTTCTTCTTTTTGCCTTAAGTGGTTTGAACTGGGATCAAAACGTCAGGTTGCCTTCTTACTCGAGTAGATTGCTATCTAGTAAATCGTAGAACTACGTTTTTATGAATAATCTAATCAGAGGCGATATTGATTTGGAACTTTCAATGTTCCTGTTAGACTAATACGAAACTACTATCCTATTAACTTGCCACGATGTTCATCTAATTTTAGTCAGCACGAGCCCTTTCGCGTTCTTTTTCATAATGTGTTCCTCAATTTCTATCCCTGTATTAAAAACTAAAATCTTAGCTGATTTGCTTTTGTCTTGTTGATCTATGTTTTGTCCTGTCTTTATTTGTTCTATGTACCTTCCTCGCGAACCGTATTTGCCCGAAATAAAAATGGGCCCGCGCGTAACAAGCACGTGCTTGGTGTCGTTTGGGCCACTTGTTTGTGCTGCTCTTAGTGCATCAACGTTCAACAATAATCAGATACGTCAGAAGATGTGAAACAAATAAAAACAAATGATTCGACACCAAGCAGAGGTTCTGGAGTCTATGTCCTCGAACTATGAAAGAAATAGCTCCAGAAAACAAACCTCTAAAGATCTATACTTTGATAGAGCGATAATAAAGGGGAAACGCGCATAGCCCAAAGCCCCATAATTATTGTTATTATTATCGCAATTTTTTTAAGTAAATTTAGTTTATGAAAAAAAAGAAAACCAAAAAAGGCAAAAACGCTCTGCCGCTGTCGACGTCAGCAGAGAAGTCGGCGCAAAGTAGAAGATTGCCGGTGAAAACAGTCGGGGACGAAAGAGATGCAGATACTCGTAGATTTCCCTGTCTTTTTGTGTCTTGTGATCTGCGTGCACTCGGCGCTCGCACAGACCAATTTCGGACGGTCCGTTGTTTTTTTTTTTTGGGGTCTCCGTTATGGTAAGCTAGCGAACAAACTATGAACATAGAATAAAACAAAAGAAAACGCTATAGTCGATGGCCTCGACTCTTAATTACTTATAACTCAGCTAAAGGGAGTACGAGAGGGATGGAGATATATTTAAAGAAACTCGGTCTTTTCTATAATACACCTAGCCTATAGCGCAACCCTAACGCCACCCACCGCCACCAATCCTTCACCGTTTCTGGTAATAAAATCAAGATCTCATATAAATTTATACAAAATATTATAAATGTAAGCACTAGAGGGGTTTCAGTGTTAGTCGTTATGTGGGCGTTACTGAATTGCTGAATCAGGAAGCCAAAGAATCTGCATGCCAAGTCCCAACATTCTAGATCTTATAGTTTCCGAGATCTCAGCGTTCATACGGACGGGCGGACATGGCTAGATCGACTCGGCTAGTGATCCTGAACAAGAATATATACATACTTAATGGGGTCGGAAACGCTTCCTACTACCTGTTACATACTTTCCGACGAATCTAGTATAGCCGTAACCTTTTACTCTACGAGTAACGGGTATAAAAATCTTCTCCCGATCCTAAGCAAAATATTCGACTGGTCCTTAAAATGTAAAAAGTTATCCCTATCCATTTCAAAACAAGGGAGAGCGCTATAGTCGAGAACCTCGACTATCAGATACCCGTTACTCAGCTAAAGGCTCCAAAGGGAAATGGAGATATGCAAGCAGTAAAGCGAGATTGAAATGCGCCACCTACCCGCGATCTCAATATATGGTTGTGTGGGCGGTAGGCAGATTTAGGCGTTATGGGCGTTAGAGTGGGCGTGGCAAATTTTATTTTAGATCAATCGATAGGTATTGACGAGACCAATACATTTCAGTTAAAATTTTTTATCTAGCAATAAAATTGTGGGCACCACAGATTTGGCCGGATACCCGTTACTCAGCTAAATGGAGATATGCAAGCAGCAAAGCGAGATTAAAATGCGCCACCTACCGGCATTAGACAGATTTAAGCGTTACGGGCATTAGAGTGGGCGTGTCAAATTTTTTTGGATCTATCGATAGGTATTGACGGGACCAATACATTTCAGTTAAAATTTTGTATCTAACAAGAAAATCGTGGGCGTCACAGGTTTGGGCGGTTTGTGGGCGTTAAAGTGGGCGTGGCAAACTTTTTTTTATGTCAATTGATAGGTATTGATGAGAACAATACACTTCAGTTAAAATTTGTATTCTAGCGTTAACACTGTAGGAGCCACAGTTTTGGGCGGTTTGTGGGCGTTAGAGTGGGCGTGGCACTCTGCTGAAACAAACTTGCGCTGCGTAAGAAGCTCAGGAATCTGCACGCCACATCTCAATAGCCTAGGCCTTATAGTTTCCGAGATCTCAGCGTTCATCCGGACAGACAGACGAACAGACGGACATGGCTAGATCGACTCGGCTAGTGATCCTGATCAAGAATATATATACTTTATGAGGTCGGAAACGCTTCCTTCTGCCTGTTACATACTTTCCGACGAATCTAGTATACCCAATTACTCTACGAGTAACGGGTATAAAAATTACGTTATATTACTGCATTTACTTCTGCTGATTATATAATCAACTTCTGCGTACTTAACAAAATTTATTAATGACCGAAAACAACTTAATTAATGTGAAAAAATTACTTCAGCATAATATCAATCATTTTTCGAGGAAAAATGTTAAGTAATGAAATTTAATACTTTTACTAAACCAGCCATAGCGCTTTCGAATTTGCACCGTTTTTTGCAAAGCTCGATTAAGCATTTAAAGGGCACATTTTCTCTAGTTGCACTTGCTATAAATAATTTTTAAAATTTTTCTTAAGTTAGTAAAGCGTGACTTGCTAGCGAACACTTGCTATTTCAAAATAAGGATAGAAAATTTAAATTTTGGTACCTTCTTTGGTTAATAACTCAAGTCATTGGAGTCCGATTTCAACAAGTGATACGTCATCGCAAAAGGGAAATCTATATACTTTCAGATTGTGTCAAACGGTTAGATAATTGGTTTCTGTGATTTAAACTCTTTAATCAAGCATCATCAAGCAAACATGTTTTCGAAAATATTTTAAGAGCGATTCTTTGAAAAATTGTTGAGTGATACCAGCGTGTACAGGAAGAACATATTAAGAAAAAGTGGTTTTAAAGCTGAATTTTTTGGCTTTAAACTAGTGGTATTTGCAACATTTTAACTAGATTAAATTATTAGCTTTTCACTTCGATTTTTAATTGAAAAAAATCTAAAATAAAAAAGTTTCGACGATACCAGCGGAGTTCTATTACCTTTTTATTATGTATTTTTAAACAAATAAATAATTGCGAACAAAAAATTGTCGCCTACAATATTAATAATTTTTTGTTTTTTTTTTATATTTTGCAGAAGACGTCGACGAAAGTATTGAGTGCATTTCACCAAAACTTCTTAATACAATGAGTACTGATGTTGCCAAGTTAAAAGCTAAGCATGGTTTAGACTCTATACCGAAAAATAAATTAACTCTTCTTATAAATTATGCAATGCGAAACGTTTATTTAGCCAGGAACTATTTTGCTGGACCGGTAAATATTATGTTTCACTACTATCTTAAATTAGCATCTTGATTTTTATACCCTTGCAGAGGTTATAATGATTTCAGTCAGAAATTTGCAACGGAAGTTGCAATATATATACAGAACAACTTTTTTTAGATCTTATATTTGTTTTGCATTAAACTTTTTTTTACGTTTACTTTTCGTTTGATAAGTAAACACGTTTATCAGTGATTTGGGCGAAAAAAATAATTTTTTTTTTTTAATAATTTTTAAAAGCTTGAAAAAGAACCTTTTTTGAAGTTCTATTTTACCAGCTGTAGCTGTATCCGATTGATTTCGTTTTTTTTTTCTTTTGTATTTATATCTCAAAACCCTCTACTTTTAAAATGAATTTGTCTAAAACACTCATTCCTTAGTTTCGTCAAAAAAAAAAATTACACTGGTCGGCATAAGTATTTTTACAAAACAAAAGTTAAATATACTCATAACTTGAACTTACTTCTTGTAAACATTGACATCAATGGAAAGGTAATTTAAATGCTGTTTGAATGATACAATACATTTCTTAAACCAATCAGTACTTATTTAAAAGTACTAATTTGTGTAAACATCTACTTTTAAAACTTTTTTCTTCGACTTGATAAACTTAAATTTTTCTTCAAAGAAAATTTGATTTTTTGAAGGTGACAATGTCGGAAAAAATTTGTATGAAAAAAAGAAAAATATGGCTAAAATGCATGTTTTATATAAGCAAAATGATTTTCGAAAAATTCTTTTTGCAGTTACTATTATTTTTGTTTGAAGAAACTTTTTGCATCAAAAAATTTAAGTTTTCAAATCGAGGAAAAAAGTTTAAAAAGTAGATTTACACAAATTCGTCCTTTTTAATAAATACTGATTGGTTTAAGAAATGTATTGTATGATTGTATCATTCATTCGGCATAATAATTATACCCGTTACTCGTAGAGTAAAAGGGTATCTAGATTCGTCGGAAAGTATGTAACAGGCAGAAGGAAGCGTTTCCGATCCCACAAAGTATATATATTCTTGATCAGGATCACTAGCCGAGTCGATCTAGCCATGTCCGTCTGAGATCTCGGAAACTATGGAAGCTAGGCTATTGAGATTTGGCGTGCAGATTCCTGAGCTTCTTACGCAGCGCAAGTTTGTGAGTGCCACGCCCACTCTAACGCCCACAAACCGCCCAAAACTGTGGCTCCTACAGTTTTGATGCTAGAATTTTAATTAATTAATTTTAACTGAAATGTATTGTTCTCATCAATACCTATCGATTGACCCAAAAAAAGTTTGCCACGCCCACTTTAACGCCCACAAACCGCGAAAACCTGTGACGCCCACAATTTTCATGCTAGATAAAAAATTTTAACTGAAATGTATTGGTCTAGTCAATACCTATCGATTGGTCCAAAAAAAAAATTGCCGCGCCCACTCTAACGCCCATAACGCTTAAATCTGTATACCGCCGGTAGGTGGCGCATTTTAATCTCGCTTTGCTACTTGCATATCTCTATTTAGCTGAGTAACGGGTATCTGATAGTCGAGGTACTCGACTATAGCGTTCTTCCTTGTTCCCTTTCCATTGATGCCAAAAGTTTACATGAAGTATGTTCAAGTTATGAGTATATTTAACTTTTTTTTTTTTGAACTTCAAACTATGAGTATTTGTCAAAATACTTACGCCGACCAGTGTACACTTAAAAATTTTTTTTAGGGGTTGCTTGAAAAAAATATGGGTATTTTAATTTAAATACATATGCAAGTTTTTTACTTACAATCGGTCTTTCCTTTAAGTTGGATCAATTTTTTGTTTTTTAAATATCGAATTGTTTCTAAGACTGTCTCTGATTTCTTCTACAAACTTTAAAAAATTCTAAGTAAAAATATAATTTTTTTTTTTAAGTCCTGATACATGTGTTCACTTAATTTCCAAATGGTATTCGTAAAAAAAGTTTCAGGCAAACAAAAAAGGTAAACAATAATATTTTTGGCGAAATCCGGACCATATTCTTGATCAGCGTCACTAGAAGAGTCGATCTAGCCATGTCCGTCTGTCCGTTTCTACTCAAACTAGTCTCGCCGTTTTAAAGCTACCGGAATAAACCTTCCCAAAAGTCGTATTCCTATTGCAGGCAGTATATAAGCCGGAAAGAGCCTGATCGGAATGATCAAAAATAAAAAATAATGATTAAATTATTAAAAATAGTTTTTAATACTTTTGGGAATATCTTTTTTTGTATTTTTAAGAATTTCGAAATAAATTTAATAATTATAACTGCAGGGTATAGATACTTCGGATCGCCGAAGTTAACTTCCTTTCTTGTTTTTAATGATTTCCCGCCGAACTAGCGGTATTTTTCAAAAGTGGCAGAACAAACGTTTTTTATTTCGAGCTGTTTAGGACCATTTAAATGTTTCCAGGAACTAAAAATATAGCTTGGGAACGCACAAAAAATTCAATGCACAGGCAGCGTTTTATGTGTCAAAAGTTGAGGAATTTTTTAAAGTTTAAACAAAAATCAAGCTGTTTTTGAGAAGTCGAAAAAAGCTAAACACATCGGAGTAAATGAAAAATTGTGGGCATAATTATACCCGCTACTCGTAGAGTAAAAGGGTACACAGATTCGTCGGAAAGTATGTAACAGGCAGAAGGAAGCGTTTCCGATCCCATAAAGTACATATATTCTTAATCAGGATCACTAACCGAGTCGATCTATGTCCGTATGAACGCTGAGATCTCGGAAACTATAAGAGCTACAATACTGGGATTAGGCATGCAGATTCCTGAGATTCCTGCGCAGCGCAAGTTTGTTTCAGCAGGGTGCCACGCCCACAAACCGCCCAAAACTGTGGCTCCTACAGTTGTTCTCGTCAATATCTATCGATTGACCCAAAAAAAAGTTTAACGCCTACAAACCGGCCAAAAACTTCAAAAAATCGTAAATATTAACGCGGATATCTCGGAAACTATTAAAGATAGAGAATTGGGATCTCAGATTTAGATTCCGTAGCCATGCAAGTTTGTAACGCGAATAGACTCCAACGCCCCCAAATCTCCCAAAACTGTGGCACCCACAATTTTCATGCTAGAGACAAACAAATTTTAACTGAAATGTTTGCTCTCGTCAATACCTATCGATTGATCCAAAAAAAAATTTTGCACGCCCACTCTAACGCCCATAACGCTGAAATCTGTCTACCGCCCACATAACCATATATTGAGGTCACGGGTAGGTGGCGCATTTCAATATCGCTTTGCTGCTTGCATACCTCCATTTCCCTTTGGTCCCTTTAGCTGAGTAACGGGTATTTTATAGTCCTTGTTATACCCGTTACTCGTAGAGTAAAAGGGTATACTAGATTCGTCGGAAAGTATGTAACAGGCAGAAGGAAGCGTTTCCGACCCCACAAAGTATATATATTCTTGATCAGGATCACTAGCCGAGTCGATCTAGCCATGTCCGTCTGTCCGTCTGTCCGTCTGTCCGTCTGTCTGTCCGTCCGGATGAACGCTGAGATCTCGGAAACTATGGGAGCTAGGCTATTGAGATTTGGCGTGCAGATTCCTGAGCTTCTTACGCAGCGCAAGTTTGTTTCAGCACAGTGCCACGCCCACTCTAACGCCCACAAACCGCCCAAAACTGTGGCTCCTACAGTTTTGATGCTAGAATAAAAATTTTAACTGAAATGTATTGTTCTCATCAATACCTATCGATTGACCCAAAAAAAAGTTTGCCACGCCCACTTTAACGCCCACAAACCGCGAAAACCTGTGACGCCCACAATTTTCATGCTAGATAAAAAATTTTAACTGAAATGTATTGGTCTCGTCGATACCTATCGATTGATCCAAAAAAAAATACCGCCGGTAGGTGGCGCATTTTAATATCGCTTTTCTGCTTGCATATCTCCATATAGCTGAGTAACGGGTATCTGATAGCCGAGGTACTCGACTATAGCGTTCTTCCTTGTTTTTAAACTATAATTTTTGGGGCGGGGTGGCTTGACTGCTGAATTAAATGAAGTCCCAAGAAAGAAGTACTTTGCGTGTGTGGAATTGAGGCGGATACTGGCATTGTAGGGTCGGATGGAATCGGCGGAGTGGTAGGACCGCTGTCCGACCCTCCAAGGCCAGTATCCGCCTCAAGTCCACACTCCATTTTGTCCTATGATGTCGATCTTGGCAAGTGAGACAGTTGTGAGCGCTTGTGCAATCCCGGAATTGAAGGCTGCCTGCAAAGCAATTGGAGCACAACTGCTTCCTCTGGATATAGGCTAGGCGATAGTCTACCGTCAATTATAGGAAGCGTGGACATATACGCACAGGGTGGTTCCCCCTCGAAAACAGATCGCAGCCTTTGGGTATCGGACTTGCCACTGGACTAGTGCCTTTGGACTGGACGTGGAGGAAATTGGCAGATCGGAAGCTATCGACGGCTTCAAGAGTTCGATGGCGCTCCGTCAAAAAGGAATCAAGCTCAAACTACTTAAGAATTTTGGCTTTGTTTTGGATGGATTGCTCCCATAATGAGAGCGTGAGCTTCGGTAGTTATGTCGAGCACATATAAACCAGGATAGGGTCTTAATTCTCCATATTAACACCTGAAAATTCAGTCGCTTATCAATCGCTTACTTTCGAAACGCTCAGTTAGGTTTTCCCAGACAGAGCGAAAGCCATAATTGTTGAGTGTGGATCTCGAAACTATGGAATGAGCTTCGCCACTTGTTTTTGTGGCATAAGTGGAATAATTTTTCAACGGGCGTTAGACTCGGATTGTTTATGTATATCGCCGTAGAAAAATCCCGAAAAGTCGGCCAGCGAAGACAATCGCCCATGAAAAGCTCTGTGTCGATAGGAGGGAGCTGACAGCGTGGAATTTTGGGACGGAGTTACTAAAGCTTGAGGTATTTTGGGAGGAGCCCTATTGTCACAAGGAATTGAAATAATCGCTACGGATTTTACATACGGATAACGTTGGGGTAGGAGCATTTGAAGCGTTCACAGTGG